GTCTCCACTATACTCCTGTTCTGGATCAGATAATTCAGCACTTACACCTATATTTTCTTCATTTGCTTCATTTGGAAAAATGTCCTTTTCCCCCCTTAATGGTAAGTTCTCCATGGGATACACCTACACCCCATATTTTTAGACTATCTCCTGCAGTCATGTGAGTTATTAATATTATTACGAACATTAATCCTTGTGATGTGTATAAGAAATACGGCCTAAGGAATGGGGCTGAAAAATGTAACCTTATGACAAAGTTTCACGTACTTTATGCCACGCTTGTTAATTTGGCCACATGTACTTAGAGCCTCATTCCAGGATCATCTGAGCACTGAATTCCATATATCATCAATGTGGGGGGTTGGAATCTAGCATCTCGGTATGTGGCAACTTGCATGTAGAAAATCTTATTACAATCATCAGAGGAAGATGGGAGGGTTGTACTATGCCATGAAGCACGTTCTCAAGGATAGCTTATTAACTGTGGTAACTAAGCTAATGAGCTCATTAGTAGCAAAAAGTCCACTCGGCCTGAAGGCAGTAGAAAAAAAAAATAGTAATCTTAACTTTTTGATGTATTTTGTATCCTCAAGTCTTCCATGAACTTTAGCCTCGACAAACAATACATTTCCTTCAGATCATATTCATAGAAGAAAGCTCACTTGGAAGAAGAAAAAAATTCCATTTCACGTAACAACACTTATTGCCAACAAACAGCGTCTACTATGAAAACAGCTAGAATCTGAAGACTTCGGAAACTGTAGGGGTGACAGGCTAGGTGAAAGCATGAGAGCTGGAAAGAAAAAAAGTGTTTATCAGTGTAATCTCTTATAAGGATCTTCCATTTGTAGAGGTGATAATGGTTGTTGACGCTTTGGCACATGAATCTTTTTTTCAAAAAATAACATTAAAACTCTTCATTTTAATATTCTACTGGTAAGCAGAACACTTGGATTGAAAACTAATAAATGAGGTAACGTGAAAGCTGGAGAATTTTAGACCTTGCCCTTCTATGGTGGGAGGTTTCACAAAGATCTTACATTTTTGTTCGAGAGACACTACCTGCACTCCCCGCTAGATCATGACCCTCTTATCAGGATGGTGAATACGTATCAGGCAGCTACTTTGCATCAAGCACAGCACCACGTGCTTTCTATCATTATCTCATTAAATTGTCAGGATGGAAACAATCTTATCCCCTTCTGCAGAAGGAAACTGGAGTTGAGAGAAGGTTAGGGCTGGTTCTGGAACTCCCAAGTGGTGCAGCCAAAACTCACACAAGTCTTTCTGAATCTAAGGCTCCCACTTCCCCACCCCACGGCAGTCTTCTAACTAGGGTCATTGTTCATCCTGCACACGCCAGTGACCCCAACCATTTGTAAGTGACATATTTTAATGGCATTCACTCGACAAAAGGATAACGCAAGAGATTTGTTGCATGCAGCCAGGAAATCAATGCAGTTTTCCTACATGTTTTCAAAGATCAGTATGTGGTGAGGTGCCCAAAAATCTGCTTCGAATGACTGCCCGGAACACAAAAGATAAACACAAGGTATTTGTGGGCTGGCACTGTGTCTACCCTCACCCTTGGCAGGCACCAGGCGTCAGTCTCTCCTGCCAGGTCTCGATGTGAATCTTCTCCACAGCCCGACTGAAAATTCCGAGACAGCAGTGCAACAAACCTTGTCCGCCGCCCTTCACCTGAATGCCCTAACTTGTGTTCCAACTTATGTCAAAACTTTTTCAAACGTGCTCAACTTGGCAGGGATGAGATGGAGCTCTACTGCGAGAACCTCAAAAGGTGAAGAGTTGACTCCACAACAATACATATTCTTCGGGGTGGGTCCCGGACCACGCTGCGTAACTGTGTAACCGTATACTCCCAGGCCCTCCAGCTTTTCCTCGGCGCCTCCCACCTCCAGCACTCACAAGGGTTGCTTCCACATGGAATCTGCCTTCTAGAAAGTGCTTTGGGTCCTCATCTTGATACATAAACTAGGGACACGAGGTAAGTCACCTCCTCTCTCTGGTTCTTAATGGGAAATAATACCCACTATTCGTTGTAAATAGAATATATGTGAAATGAGAAACAACCTATTAACCACCTCAGAAGGCATTTCAAAAGATCAGATGAGACAATGTTTACAGAAAACCTTGTCAACCCTAAAGCGCTGGCCACCTTTAGAGAAGCAGGCTCTGCTATTAGTAGATGTTAGAAACCATGGCCCATCCTCATTAACCAACTCAAAGGAGAAACTCTTGAGGCCCACTCGGATGGGGACACCCATGTCACGGGGTCCTGGCCATGGCGGCAGAGCCTCCAGGGGCCCGGGAATCGGGGAGGAGGCAAACAACGGGATCCACCAACTGCACCTTCTCTGGTAGGGCAGTCTGTGAAATGGGACACAAAAGCTGGGTCTGTAACACACAGCTGCTCCCTTTCCAAGTACCTGCTCCTCAGCAACATCCAAGTTCACAGTTTGCTAGTGTTGTTAGCGGAATTCCCAATTCCTGTGGCTTTATACCTCTGGGCTGAAAATACCGTGCCGGCTGGTATGCGGCCGGGCTTCTGGAGCCCCAGGATGATGAAGGATAAATACGAAGTGGTGTGCTCAGAGGAGCAGACACAGCCTTGAGACGTGGCCATGTGGTGACGTGGGGGAGGAGGAGGAGGGTGTCAGCCGGCAGACGGAGCAGTTATGAGAGGAGGGAAAAAAGAAGTGAAGATCTTCCAAATAACAGTTCTTTGGGGAATGTAACAAGTACTCTCCTCTAAATTAACTTTCTCCATTCTCAGTCCAATAATCCAGATGACTACTGGTTCTCGAAGTCACACAAACTCTTTTATTGGGGTTTTCCTATATAAATCCTTAGGGAGTTATTTGATATGCATTATGGCACATTTTAATCTAAGTTCTGCATATTAATCGATCCACTGAAAGATAATGTGAGAACTGAAATGTACTTTTAGAATTTCTTAACCCCCAGGATAATTAACTATTGAAATGTGTTTAGAGCCTGAATCGCAAATCAGAACAGCACAAGAATTAACTTAGCCAAGCACATCACTGAGATTTCCTAGCTATGCAGTAAATTCAGTGAAAACTGTTTCCTTTTTTCCAAAATGGAAACAGCTTTGTTACTGTGTCTAATGCGTTTAAAATTCTTTCAGTACAGAAAGAATATCAAATATGAAAATCATCCAGGATTCCCCCCCCGTGGAAGTTACCACTGGTAAACATATTTTGATGTATCACCTTCTAAACTTTTGTAAGCATATATGTGCATATGAGCTTTTTCAAAATTAATGTCATGTTATTCATATAGTTGATAACACAGTAATATACTGTTAAGACTAACCTATGTCAATAAATATTATTTTCCAATGTAATTTTTATTGGCTACATAATATTCCATTTCGTGTATATGCCATAATTTATTTAACCAATCTCCTCTTGAGAGACATTTGGGATTGTTTCCAATATTTCATTTATAAACAACTACAACTACAGAAAATTATAAATATGAGTGCTTTCTACTTCTCTCCATAAATAAGTTTGAAAATCTGGGTAAAATAGATGATTTTCTAGGAATATGTAAATTACCAAAATGGACACCAAAAAGGATAGGAAACTTATACCAGTAAGTATAGGATTTTTTAAAATAGCCCAAGGACTACCTCTCCAAAAAAGCCACATCCAGATAATTTGCAAGTGAAATCTCCCAAGCCTTTAAAAATTCTATTTAGAGTAGTCCAGAGAAAGAAGAAAGAAATTCTTTCACATTCTTTTTTTAAAATTTAGAATAATACTGACACCAAGCGCAACAAAAATGTCATAGAAAAAAGAAAATAAACCAACCTCACTTTTGAATATCAATGTAAAATTTCTAAATAAAATTTAGCAAATATAATCCAGATAAAAAGAATAAAAAAACAAAGATCCAGAAGACTCCATTCCAGATATTAGTATGTAACATCATTATCAGAAAATCTAATAATATAACCTTACCATATGACTTGTTTAAAGCAGAAACATATATGATCACTCTAACACATGTCTAAAAGATGTGATAAAAGTAACTCATTTCTGATTTTTTTTTAAGCCCTAGTAAAGTGAGAATAGGTAGAGGTTTCCTTAAGATTATGTCATGCCAGGGGCGCCTGGGGGCTCAGTTGGTTGAGCACCGGACTCTTGATTTTGGCTCAGGTCATGATCACAGGGTCCTAGGATCAAGCCCCAAGTCAGGTTCTGAGCTCAGCACGAAGTCTGCTTGAGATTCTCTCTCTCCTTCTCCCTCTGCCCCTCCGCCCGACACATGCACATGAGCTTTCTCTCTCTCTCTCTCTCAAATAAATAAATAAATAAATAAATAAATAAATAAATAAAATCTTAAAAAAAAAAAAAAAAAGAATACAACCTCCGAAACCAGAATTCCTGGGTTCAAGTTCGGCTCTATCACTAGCTGTATGACCTTGAACAGATTACTTCATTTCTCCATGCCTCACCTTTCTCATCTGTAAAATGGGATAACAACAGTACATACTCATAGGGATCCTGTAAGATAAGTGCTTAGAACAGCACTTGGCACATAGCACTGGATTAGTGTGCATAAGAATATAAGTAGATATCCATAACATCAAGGAGCCAAGACCATGAACAAATAATGAAAAACTAAAACCATTGCCATGAAAGTCATGACTAAGAAAAGAATACTCAAAGTCAACACTACTATTTAAATTGTTGTTCTGAAAATACTAACCAAGTGGGTCAATCAAGAGAAATCTAACTTTTATAAATGTAGAAAAATAAAAGATGGAATTAATCATGATTAACTATTCCTGAAAATACCAAGAGAATCAACTGAATGCCTATTAAGGACAACAGGAATTTATTGGATCTATTTCATTCATTCACTACCCTAAAGAGAAATTTAGAGAGAACTATGAAAACAATCTCAAAATGACAGAAGCTGGGAACCTGAACCTTTTGAAAACTCACCTTGGCAATTTAATTTTGGGGACTCCCATGTGCCCAAGGCTGTGCAGCTTGAAACTGTATCTTCCGGGCCACTGAAAAATCCTTCTTTGCAAGCATAACGAACCTGGCTGCCAAGCCCAGAAGTATAATTTCCGACGATAAAGCCATCTGGGACCTCAGGAGGGGTGCCACAGTCTATTTCTGAAAATAAATTAACGTCAAATTCACTAGTATGTGAATATGAATTTTCAAAAATCATCTCTCTCCACCTCTACCCCATCATTCCCTTTCCCTCCACACACACCTGAGCGATATTTTACATAGACTGGTTCATTTCCATTTTGACTTCTGGGCATGTTTCCAATGATTGTCTCTATTCAACCTTCTGGCTTTCCGTAAGAATAGCATCTACACACGCACAAAGCTGATGGGATTTGGCAGTCAACCTTCACTAATTCACACTAGTTAAAGAAAAGCCTACCCCAGCAAAGTAAAAAATTTGAATTGCAAAATACCTTCAGATATATATGGCTTTGTAGTTTTCAGAGTCACTTTTCTGTTGCTGGTCCTTACCAGGGCAGCTATGTTTACCCTCTAAAATCAGGTTTAATAGGAGAATATCTATTAACTACTAAAAATCCCAGAAGTTTACTAATTGTAGCTTTTTAAAAAAAAAAAAATAAGATAGCCAGCCCCTTCTATCTTGTAATATTGACTTTATTTCATAGGTTGTACAGATGCACAAAGGAATAGATAATCTCCACTCATATCCCCAACACAGGCCCCACAGACGCAGGCTCAGAGCAGGAGAAAGTCATCTGAGAACAGAATCCCACTTTCAGAAAGCTCCCTTCTTTGGCAGTAACCCACCTGTGCATGACGTGGCGTCTCTGGTCGGGTGGAAAGGCTCGGGTCCATTCTTTGGCAAGTATCCATCCATACAGTAGCATTCGAAACTTCCGTAAGTGTTCACACACCGTCCTCCTTGCTTGCACAGGCCGGAAACCTCACACTCATCTACATCTTGAGACCCAGATATAAGAAGGGAGAGAAAAAAGAGAAAAAGGGAAACACAGGGGCAGAGGGGCATTGGAACAGCCATTTCTCACATTCTCAATCTACCCTTACAAAAATGGATGCATTTGTTTGCAATGGCATCATGAATTTTATTTCGTTCTTCAAAGATTCTTTTCATATACCCTTTATGCCATCAGTACTAAAAGGTGTTCAATAAATACTTGTCGATGTGTTTTGGAAATTTACGAAAACCAATGACCATCACGAACTCTCTGACATCCAACAAAATGAGCCCCAAAAAAGTATGCTGAAAAAAATTCAATCACTACAAAATAAGGATGTCCTCTACCTCATACTAAAATACCTGAAGGATGGGGCACCTGGGTGGCTTAATCTGTTAAGCGTCCAACTCTTGGTTTCGGTTCAGGTCGTGATCTCAGGGTCGTAAGATCAAGCTCCTCATCGGGCTCCATGCTGGGCGTGAAGACTGCTTAAGATTTTCTCTCTCTCTCTCTCCCTCTTCCTCTGCCCCTCCCCTGTCCCTCTCTTTAAAAAAAAAATAAATAAATAAATACCTGAAGTAGAACTCCAAATATAAAACAATTTAAACCAGAGTGAAAAATGCTTTCTAGCTCATGAGCGTAGGATGGTGAGGCAGGTAGTAAGAGGAAAATTCAGAAGGGTCTCACTAATTTTACCAAGATTACAAGAACTTAAGACAAGCTTCGAGAAGAAAAAGACATGCCCCTTGGCAGACTGTTCCCCTAGACTTCCAAAAGTATCAGGTACAGCGGGAAAAAACCACACAGTAATTCAGAGACTGGAGAAGAAACCTCTCTGCCAGTTAGCAGATTTTTTTCCCCCAGAAATGACTTAGAGAACAAAACTAAAACTTCAGGAATTCCATCAGAGTCATACAAACACCAATTTCACCTAGAGAAAAAAAATACCTTAAGTGAAATGGGACTTTTCTCAGGACACTTACAAGAACCATGGCAGGGGGCAGGGGAGCAAAGAACAGGGAGTAGCAAGACTGAAGAAATCCTGGTTGTTACCAGGCTCTGGGATTTTAAAGGCCGGTAATTTTGGAAGGACCAATATAAAGTGGCCAGTATTCTATTTTGCCAGGTAAAGAGCGTTTGGTTTTGTTTTGTTTTGTTTTGTTTTCCAAAACCTACTAACACCATAATTTCACAAAAGAAGGAAGAAAATAATATCAGAACCCTTTTAAGTTTGTGATTTTATTAAAATTCACCATAGTCTCCTTTTTGTGTGGTTTTTGGTCTTCACCAATGAACTCCTCATCACTCACTGATTATTGTTTAGGTGGCAGTAATTCATTGAATTGCTGAAAGAGCCCATACAAGCTAACAATTTTGATAAACCTGTGTCTTTAATGCAGCAAACTTTGGGGAAAATCTGGGAGATGATCTCTAAAGATGGTGGCCATCTCTTGGGGATTCAAGAGGGGAATCCATTCCACCACCACCCCCCCTTGGGTTGGTCTTGAGACTTGCTTTGGACAATAGAATGCAGCAGAAGTTAATGCTATGCCTTCTGTGAACCTAATCTTGGAAACGACTGGCAGCTTCCTCTCTCCCTCTGTTGGAATACAGTGGCCATGCTGTAAGGAAATCTAAGCTATCATGGTTGGGAGAGAAGTCACTCAGGGGACACCCTGAAGTTGAGACGCCACGTGAAAAGAGAGACCACATGGAAAACTAAGGTGTCCTGGCTGATAGTCAGCATCAAGGCCCTAGAATGTGAGAGAGACCTTCTTTTACCTACCAGCCCAGCCCAGCCCAGCCACCAGCTGAATGTTTCCACATGAGTGAGAGAACCACCTAGGCATGGAACTGTGAGTACTAATAAATTGTTGTTATAAGCCATTAAATGGAGTGGAGGGCTGGGGCGGGAAGTACCATTATGCAGTAATAGATGACCAAAACACTCTTGACATATAAAGAGATGCAGGAGTCCAAATGAGATTAAGAGGATATTGTAATCGGGTGCCTGGCCGGCTCAGTTGGTAGAATGTGTGACGCTTGATCTCAGAGTTGTGAGTTCAAGCCCCACACTGGGTATAGAGATTATTTAAAAATAAAATCTTAAAAAAAAAAAAAAAAGAGGATACTGCAATCAATGAAAAAAAAAAGGGGAACTTCTGAAAAAAACAATGAGATCTTGGAAATTAAAAGCAAAATATGAACGCCAAAAATAAAAACCAAATAGAGGCATTGAATAATAGGTTGGTTGCTGCTGGAAAATAAATTTGCAAATTCCAACTTAAAGAATTCTCCAAAAACACATAGAAAAGGAAATTATATGAGACAGAAGCTATAGGACAATAAACAATATAAGGACAGATCCAAAATATGTAATATTCACTTAAGAGGAATTGCAGGGGGCACCTGGGTAGCTCAGTTAAGTGTCCGACTCTTAGTTTTGGTTCGGGTCATGATCCCCAGGTCGTGGGACTGAGCCCCAAGTCAGGCTCCATGCTCAACACGGAGTCTGCTTGAGATTCTCTCTCCCTCTGCCCCTCCCTCTCGTGTTCACTCTCTTTCTCTCTCTAAACTAAATAAATAAATCTTTATTAAAAATTAATATCAAAGGGAAAATTTCCTCTGCTTATGTATTCACTTCCAAACAGCCTTTTGAGGTGACAGGCATTAATGATGAAAAGTGAAAGTCATTCTGAATTTCATGGAATAAAAGAAAATCTATGAAATGAGAGAGAAAGGAATGGTTATCTATGAAGAAAAGAACACCAACGTGACCTAGGACTTCTTGTCTGAAACACCAAATAGTAATGGAGTATTTACAGAGTTCTAAGGAAAAGGGAGCAAGACACAGTACTATAGTTAAGTCAACAAATGACATTTTAGAACATGAAGGATCTCAGAAATTATACTATTGACATTTCTTTTTTTTTAATTTTTTTTTTTTTAAGCAGACTCCACACCCAGCACAGAGCCCAACTCGGGGCTCAAACTGAGAACCGTGAGATCAAGACCTGAGCCAAGATCAAGAGCTGGAAGCTCAACCAACTGAGCCACCCAGGCACCTCCTGACATTTCTTTTCTGAAAAAGATTTTGAAAAATATTCAAGCCAGTGAAAAACATCAGAATAAATCATGTCAAGAAAGGGAAAACATAATTTAAAACAAAACAAAGAGGTAAGAAATGAAACCAATAAAAACTCAGTTAAACAATTGTTGATAACAGGGCGCCTAGGTGGCTCAGTTGGTTAAGCGTCTGCCTTCAGCTCAGGTTATGATCTCAGGGTCCTGGGATCGAGCCCCACATCAGGTTCTCTGCTCAGCGGGGAGTCTGCTTCTTGCTCTCACTCCCCTTCTGTGCTCTCTCTCTCTCTCTTTCTCTCAAATAAATAAATAAAATCTTTAAAAAAAAAAACACAGTTGTTGATAATAAAATCATGGAGTTTTGGGTAATAGTTAACAGGATTCTTAAAATATAAATAATATGAAATAAAATCAATCTCAATCCAGCACAAACTTTAGAGATGATTTCAATCCTGCAGGATCCAACATGTGTTCCTAGAATTGGATCCATCATTTCAGCTTATCAAGATTCTGTATTCCAAGTGGGAGTTTGTAAAATGTGTACATATACCTTTGACACAGTAATCATCTTCCAGCCTGCCCATCTGCCCCAGGCTCTTCAAAAGACAGTGAGTGGGAATAAATGGAATTTTCTGTAGACTTCTAAAAACAGGCAGTACCAGTACTACAGGGCAAAAATGTGGCTAGGTAGCAATGGTAGGGAAAAAGACGGAGTTTTTAGATACTGATCAGCTCTGTATGAGTCACTACAGTCATTAATCACCTTGCTTTGTGTCCAGTCATTCAACAACCTAATAAAAATGATTGTTATAACGAGTGCTAATCCCAGGGACTCCTGTGTGTCATCTGACACATGGCGGCCACTGTTCTACACACTTCATTATTTATTACTAATTATTTTCATCTTATTCTGCACAATAACCCCATGAGGTAGATGCTATTAGTATCCCCATCTTACAAAGGAAGTACATGAAGCCCGGAGTGGGTAAGTAAGTACACTGAAATCACACAGGTTAAGTGGTGGGAAAGCCAGACTCGGAAACCATGTATGTGGCTCCAGGACCACTCCCTTAACCACTAGCCACACTGTGTCTCCCACTACAGTCACATTGTACCATCATCCAATCAATAATTCCATCTTGTCCACAGACAATATCAAAGATATCCATTGTCTTAATGAAGTCTAGAAGTACCTACCATCTATCCCTGAGATCAGCGACATGATTTTTGACTTTTAATGCCCCGCTACCTCTTAATGTTCACAAGCCGTCCCTTTTCTAACCTATTCTAGAATCTTGGCTGGGTAAACATATTTTTTTTTAAAGATTTTATTCATTTATTTGAGAGAGAGAGAATGAGAGATAGAGAGCACGAGAAGGAAGAGGGTCAGAGGGAGAAGCAGACTCCCCGCCGAGCAGGGAGCCCGATGTGCGACTCGATCCCAGGACTCCAGGATCATGACCTGAGCCGAAGGCAGTCGCTTAACCAACTGAGCCACCCAGGCACCCTGGGTAAACATATTAAGCTCATTAGAATAACTTCTCCATGTGGTGGATTCCATGGGGCCTCCAAGGTTAGAACATGTTTGCTTGGGAAGGAAAAACGCTCTGAGCAACTGAGCAACCTTATTAACATACCTAACTAATCGAGGGGGAAATTTTCCCTTGTCCCATTGTACATACCGGACAATTTAACTTTATCCACAGCCAGAACAATTCCTTGCCAGAAAGTAGCAAAACTAGGCAGGACACGCTGACCTGGTCCCAGGGCCCTGATGTTCTATATTTACTTCTTTTCATCTAATAGCCTGGGTTTGAAAGTCAAACAGACCCAGGTTTGAGAACTGATTCTGCTATTTATTAGATGTACTCAGGTCTGTTCCTTAACCTTTCTAAACCACTTTTGTAAAATGAAGCTAAT